TCCCTCCCTCCCCCAATATTCTTCCATCTCTTCTGAAGCATTGTCACGCTGGGTGTGGTTCAATAAGCATCAGTAGTGGTCATTCTTTACATCTGAGCCCACTCAGTTTTTGTCACCAGGTTTTTGGCCTCCAATGGAGGGGAGGTCATAGCTGAACCCAGTCTCGGCCTCACCTTGATATTCAACAAAAATCATGAACAGCAGTGTATCACAAAGTGTTACCTTACCTTACCCAGGGCATTGCATTCAATTTTAGTGCTCTACTTCTGCCTAAAATCTGCATTCTTCCTGATCCAAGCTTCTCAGCACACACTTGGTGGTGCATTAATCCACTGAGCCATCAGAGGTGCTTTGAGCACAATAATTTTTAACAATATATTGACGTCCAAAGGCTGTGTTTTAACAAGCGTGACCATTCATAGTGAAAGGAACCATAATGCTAGATTATAGATTGCGTCTGTTTGAAGGGTGCTGTCATCTTCCTTTCAGAAAGGACTAATTTACTGTCCGGCTGAGTGGTGCTTAGCAAGAACTGCCAGATCAAATAGACTTCACAATGGTATGTTGAAGGTATTCAGCCACTTTTAAGTTTGCTTTAACTGATGAAACTTGGTTATATTTCAATCTTACTGGGCTACAGCAGACATTATCTTTAGAACAAACTGAACCTTGGCGTACTTTGTTCCAGTAATGCATAACTGAGGTGGTGAATGCTGCAGTGATTGTCTGTTGCATTTATGTACCCCGAGGGAGTTCAGGACCTTGCAGACCACAGGATGTTTAATGGACTAAAATTGAACGGTAATGCTTTCAAATTGATTGACAGATGAATACAGAAAAGCACTACCAAAGTATAATTGAAGGAATCAAAAGCTTGACACCTAGAGGCCTTAAGGCAACAAAGTCACTTTAATAACCAAATTATTGATTCAAAGACTTTCATTTTCTTGTCGGAAATTGTTGTGAATAGAACCTAATTCTTGTCTCCCTATGTCACCTATGAGTTGACTGGGTGATGAAGAGAGAGCGTATTATACTATTTGTTTCCATAATGTTTATAGTTGGAGAGACGCCACCGTCTCCACACTATCATCGGTGTCCAGGCCTGCAGTTCCTACACCCTTAACCTCTGGAACTCCCTCCGTCTCTCCCTCTCTCTTTGTGTCCCGCTCAAATCCAACCTCTTTTGAACAGTGCAATGGCCACTTCTCACCTCTCCCTTGGTCAGGAACTAGCCCAATCTTTGTCTGCCAATACCCTACATGGAAGGAGCTATATAAATGCAAGTTGTTGTTGTAGTAGTTGTTATAAATGTTATACAATGTTGAATTGTGAAAGCATTATCGATTGTGAAGAAGCCTGGCTTGTTCCCAGACGTGGACCTAAAGGTCACTGAGATCAGATGACATGATTGCCATCTGTGTGGGATGAAGACCATTATCAGTAAGCGTTCAGAGGAAACATTTGAGGGAAAAGATTGAATTGATTCATGATTCCTTCAGCAAATGAAGCCAAAGACCGTGGGGATTGTAAATCTCTGTATTTAGGATAAAAAAAAGTATAGAAATGGGAAATGTAAGCCCTTCCTGCACCCTTTCCAGGAAGTACTTTCAATGGCAAGCTATGTTGTTTTAGTTGGTTAAACTCCAGCTGTGTACCGATGCACGCTCTGAGTCACCAAACCTTGGCGTTTGCCAACATACTCTCTGGAATTGGATAGTCAGGTTGAGTCCCTCCAGGGAGAAATCACAGATTCTATTCCTGATGCAGGGAAATTTCCATGTGTAGGTGACATACATGTGTGGAACTCTGTCTGGTGTGGAATGCAATGGATTTCGGCATGTGTCAGATACCTGACTGACCAAAAACAGTGGCTTGCACATTTGCCTACAAAAGTATCAGTCACTATATTTGACAGTAAATACCCTAAAGTGCCTTCAGACATTTAACAAGATAAGATGCTGTAAACAATGCAAGTTCTTTATCTTTTTGAGGCTTGCACTGATTGATCAGAGACAGCTTATTTGAAGTTGATTGTGAACTGTTTTAGTTTCACTTTTCAGCTGGTGCTGTGTAGATTCAGAAGTTGCTTCTGACATCCAATATACACTTATGTACAGTATTGCACCACTTTTTTTTACTGGGACCTTCAGCAATCCTGACAGTGTGCTCGCGACCTGTGTTTTATTTGTAACTGAGATATTGTACAAGAGCGCAATGTATTTAATCAGGTGCAATGTTATAGTGATGTCCTGTATCTGAACATTAGATGCTTATGTCTTGAATTTGATTCACCCAGTAAGGTGGTGAACACTGGAAAAATGCTGCAATGTTTGACTCTTTAATGTGAGGATGCTAGAGTGGGTATTCTAAAGGTTGAGATCAAATGGCTCAAAGATCCTTCTTCATCTGAAGCTCTCTTGGCAGTATGAAGTAAACAAAATTTACCAAGATTGATTCTTGTGATTATTTTTCTTCTCTGTGATGGCTTGACTAAATTTGGGAATATTGGAAAGAAAACATGTCCTGACCTCTCTATGGCAGTGAGGCATTCTCTTCCCAGAGGAGTGCATCATGCTACCTAAACCCAGAGAATTTACATGCACGTTCCTAAGAAACCTCAGTTATTGCTGCGATTTAACCGGCTAAAACCGCTCAATCATTGCAGAGCACTGGCAAGCTTCCTGCGTGAACCAGTCTATCTGATAGAGCTTTGGTTTTCAGGGTTATCTGGAGCCGGGTGGAAAGAATCCCAGTCCCTAGACTGGTCTGCCTCTCCAAGGTTTGCCAATGAGTTAGGTTGGCTGATCCATCATTATCAGTGCACTGGTGGATTGTGGACCTGCTTTGTGCTATCTGACCATTGAGACTGACGCAGAGGATCAGCTTGCTTCTGATCTTCCATTGCTAAGTGGGTCACCTTGGAGCTAACTCAGCCCAAATAGATCCTGCTCACCTCCCTTCCAATGAGTATAGTCACTATAGTCTAGAGATATCCAAGCTAATTTTATTTCCTCATTGTTGCCCCAATTGAAATCAGCTAATTCAGCGCAGACCAGGGATCAAACCTGGGACTTCCTGGTCTTTGAAGCTCAGAACACAAAACACAGTGTCCCCTGAGCAATATGATCCATCTATATTGATGATTAACACTATATTCAAATTCCTGCTGCTTTTATGTTTTCCCAGTTAATGCTTCACAAACTCTAGTGTGCGTGAGGTTCGAACTGTGCACAAATCTGTTACTTATTGTCCCATCTAGCCCTGACTGAAGCAGAGGCTGTTATACTGTGGGTATCCACTACTGTTGAGAGATTTCTGTACCCAACTCCATTCAATTCAAGTTTCTAGGTCATGTCAGATGGCAGATCCACCACAATGTTTGCCTTCACTTTAGATAAACCATGCTCACGGCTTATCCGATAAGTATTTGAGCAATACAAATCTCGAAATGACACAAAATTATTTAATTCAGTTATTTAATTGCTTTGAGTTATCCTTCTACTTTTAATTTCCGAAGTACCTGGATCCACTTTGCGGTGATTGTGGTAGGAATGCCCCTCTATTATGCTCCTCTCTTCAAAGCATTGTGACTCCATAAGCATAGTTAATTTGACTTGTGAGAGTTTCTGGCAAGTTATGCAATTTTTAGGAAATCGAAGCCAGCTCTTTAGGAAGCCTTAAATCTTAGAAGATTTAACGCTATTGTGCTCACTTAATTCTTTGCAAGGCCAATGCCACGCAGCTCCTCTCAAAAATGATGCAGTCTCGGATTTCTCAATAGCACCAATTTTTTCTTAAAATCTCGGAAGGCTTTTAAGGATTCTTTTGTTATCCAGAATTGTATAGAAGGCTGAGGTTTGGAGGATTAGACGATCATTGTCTGGATTTCCACAGCAGGATATCGGTTGGTCTGTGGAGAGAGGCCAGAGGTTGCAAGGGTTTCTCGGGAGTCTGGCCCTAGATATGTACTTTTTTTGTGAAGTGGCTTCATCGGCACTGTACACACATAAACTCATAAGCGTAAATAGTTTACTTGTAACCAGCTCTTGCCCTATTTGTGATTTTTGTCTTGTAATTCATGGGTAATGTTTAGTGGGATCTCGTGGCATGTTATATTGGTCAATCATTCCAAGAGGAAATAAGCAAACTCCCATCATGAATGTTGAGCGAACATTTTCGTTTCTTGTTTTTGGACGTCTCTCCGTATTGAATTCTAATAACTAAACCAAACATTGATTTTCTGGAATCATCTAGAATCGGAATCACAGAAATCTGTTTACTGACTGAGGTATGACTCAGTTTAGGACACTGAGATAAGTGGTTTGAACGGGTTTTAATTCAGTGGGTAGATTAGAACTCTGCAATTTGTAGTTTAATAATTGTACTGTAGTAATAACAAAGTGAAGTAACACAAAGAACAGAAATAACAAAGTCTTCAGTTTAAAAAAAGCCACTGCAATTCACAAAGGACAAATGGCAGGAACAATTTTGTAAGTGAAATGGAAATGTTTGTTTATTTATGCAAAATGCATCGGAAATTAATCGGTTTTGCTTTGCTCTTCAATCTAATTCTTCAGTATATTAGGCGTTGACAAGAAAAGCATGTTTGCAGTTTATTAAATGAACTGCGAACCTGTGCAGATCTTGAAAAGTACAGAGGAGTTTTGATGCTCACTGTTAGAGTTGATTACATAAGCCTTAGATTTGAAAGCAGTATAACTTATTGACGTTTTAAAAAAAAAACACATGAAAAAGTACTTTAGACTTTGTTGAATTGTGTTGAAATTCTAATTCTGTGCAGGTGGAGCCTAGGGTACCAGAAGATCGTAGCTTCCCTCATTAACTACGGGTCAAGGTTAAAATGTGAGGCAGTGCATTTTAATTAGTGGAGCAACTTAAAGCCCACAGGAGATTGATCCACTGGAGTCAAGATTGCAGAGTACTAAGATTAAGGTTCTTTTTCCTCTCATCCGGTCCATTTTTTTTTCCTCTTGCAGATTGAGGAAGGCGGGAAATCAGACTTACTATCAAATAGACTGCAAGTGGGAGATGAAGTGGCTAATATCAATGATGTGGAGCTGAGTGGTTACAGGCAAGAGGCCATCACCCTGGTGAAAGGGTCCTACAAGACTCTCAAGTTGCTCATTCGCAGGTAAGAAAACCCCTTCAGTCATTGGAAGATTGCATCCAAATCTAATAAAACTGGGTTGAATCTACTGCACTGTCTTTGGCTATTCCAGAGATGATAAAACTCTACTATTTCAAACCATCCTAATCCCTCAAGATCATTGCACCAGTGACATGTTTTGCAGAAATTAGCCACACTATATTCTTTTCTGGCAAATTATCAAAGTGCACATCAGGCTGTTATGAATGGTGAAGTCAGAGGTTGAACTGTTCCAGTTTTGAGATGTTATTTTTCATCTTGACCATTGCTCACACATGGTTTGTTTAAATAATGAAGAGTGTTGACAAAGTAGATGGGGAATAACTCTAGCTGGGGAATCCAGGTTGAGAAGACAAAGGGGAAAGTGGGAAAAAAATCTTCACACAAAGGGTCGTGGGAATATGGAATGACCTGCATCAGAAGGTCATAGATACAGAGTTGACTGAGGCATTCAAAAGAGTGATACAGAATAATAATACTTAGATTTGTGTAGGTTAGTGCCTTTCATGCGGAAGATGTCTCAATGTGTTTGCAGGATTTACTGTAAAGTAGAATGACCATGTGTTTCTGTGGGCAATACGTTGTCAGTAAGGATATTAAGGATTATGGAGAAAAGGAAAATGTAATTAAAGATTTGCCATAAATGTGATGGGTGAGACAGATTTGAAGTTCTAAATGGCTTTTTTGTGTTCCTATGGGTGTTTGTATAACTGGGAATAATGGTGGAGCTTGATGCTGAGACGGGGGTAGAAAGGGGAGGTGACCGTAGACACAGTCGAAGAGGAAGATATAGGAAGGACTAGGGTGTAAGCAGTTGGGAGAGGTAGGGGGATGCTAAGGCATAAAGTGACTTGTGTGTGAGTATGAGGATTTTCAAATCGATACCTTCTGCAATATAGAGGGTCAATGGGGCTGTGGTGGTGAGGATGCGGGCAAGTAAATTTAACTTTAAAGTAACACAGCTTCTTTTGAAGTATTGTGCACATGGTAGAAAGTGAAATGAAGGAGCATATCAGTGAAGTTTTGGGCCTCGGTAATTTTGTTGAAAATTGTTTTTAAAGCGGTCTAAGACACTATCCTGCGTGAAGCTTGCTATATGAATGAGTCCTGTAACTTAGTGGTTAGAGGACTCGCCTTGCAATCTAGAGGACCCGCATTCGATTCCCGGGCAGGGCAAAATGTTGGGCAATTTTCCTTACTCAACACGCCTCTATTTACCTAGCAGGAAGTAGGAACCCGGTTGTTAGTCGATTGGCGGATTGCTTTTTCCAGGAGTAATACTCCCTTAAATAAAAATACAATCAAATATCAAAAAATGTGGTCACTCAATCCATGGCTGTTTGTGGGACACTGCTGTGCGCAATTGGCTGCCGTGGTTTGCCCACAAAACAAAGTTACTTTACAGTATTCTGTGAAATGCTTTGAGACATCTCGAAGACATGATAAGGCTCTATATCAAATGTAAAGATTATTATTATATAAATGCAAATTGTTGTTTTTCTTATGCAGCTTAATGGTGAATCTCTGTTAGGAAGACCACAAACAGTTGATTTATGTATCAGCTTGACTCAGTTATTAGCACTCTCGCTTCTGGGTCAGAATTTTGTGGGTTCAAGTCCAAAATTGGGACATGATCTTACAGTCCAGATTGACATGGCAGTGTAGTATTGGGGGAGCGCTACATTGTTGGAAGCGTTGAATTCCTTTCTGCTTGTTTTCAGGTGGAGGTAGTTTTGAAAAATGTTCTTGCAGTGTTCCATCAACCCATTGTATTAATCCTTCAGATTAATTAATCCCTTTAGATCATGGTTAATGTGAGACTTGCTGGAGTCAAATTGACTCCTGGTTTGTCGACAGAAAGCAGTCGCTACATTTGACAGTAACTATTGTAAATGCTTTGAGACAAACCATTGCCATAAGCTGCTTTGTTATTCATAGACATACAAGGGATGAGCTGCCACACACCAAGAATACCCGATGAATAATTTCAAGGTAGAGATTCTGAGAAAGCATAGCGGGAGAAAAAAGTCAAGGAACTGGGGTCAGAAGAACACAGGCAAAGTCTGAGTGGGAATTGGGGCAAAGCTGGAGTCAGCGACTCACATTTCATAATTTGAATGAAAACTGTACTTCAAATGTTATAATTCAGTCATGGTTGCCTGCTGTTACTTTCCGTCTAACAGGACACCTGCTGCTAACCATTAGGCATTGGCCATAATTTAATAAAACTGACCCGTGTAACCCAGTATCAAATAGATTGCTGGCTGTTGTGCCTTTCAGGGACGGAACACGTCCTGGGATTCAGGGAACATTCCCAAGCAGATTGAGCTTCATTCTCAGGGTTTTAATAACCGTTTTAATGCATGAAACTATGTGTACCTTGTAAAAGCCTAAAGCCTGTTTGTTAGCCAATTTGTGTTACAGATGCCATAGTAAGGCTATGTGTAAATGGTTAAGAGCTGGGTAGTCCTACAGTGAGCTGCTTATCAATGAATATTAGGATTGTTGTAGAACACCCGATTGGTAAGCCAGTGATGGGATAAGCTTTAGAATAGGACCTGGGTGCAAAGCATTGGGACATATGGAGATAATTCCCATAGCCTTGATACTTAAAAATAACATTTGTTTAAAAACATTGCCAAAAATGTATAACAAGGCTTACATCATGGCATGTAGTAAAATGTCAGCCTCGTGAGTGGATTGTCTTAAATGACAATCTGAGACACTTATTTCTCCTGTTTCCTACTTTGCAAATCCCTGACTGTCAAGTGCCTTTGGATGTCCTCCTGACATGAAAGGTCATATACAAATGTAATTTGTTGTTTAATTGTTTGTTTAATACTTTGTGTTGAATTTTGCAATGTTTTACATCAATTATCAGCACCAAGCACAATAACAACAGCAATAACAACTTGCATTTATATAGCACCTTTCATATGGGTAGCGTCATGGAGCGCTTTAACCATAGAGTGCAATTTACAGACCAAATGACAATGTGAGACTGAACACTATATTTGTCATCTATGCAGCACAATTGAAAATGTTATTGCACCACCGTGAGCTGTTCTGAGGAGGTGACCACAGGCATTTGTTTTGGTGTTTGTATTTCAATTGATGATCTTGTTTCTTAACTGAAATGCGTTTCAACTCTGCGTCACACTGTACCAGGAAGTTTATTTGTGCTACTAGGGCAGTTAGGCAGGAACATACACTTTGTTGTGCTTTTTGCCAGGACTTAATTTTTCATTTCCTCACAAAGGAGTGAATTGATTCTTAGAAATTGAATGAGACATCAGACTGAGGTTCTTTCTGTTCATGTTGACATTACAGATCCTATGACACTGTTCAAAAAGAGAAGGGACTTTCTTTCAGTGTCCTGGCAAACAATCCTCCAAATAAAAGTGGTCACTTACACCATGGTGTTTTTGGGACATTGTTGTGTGCAAATTGGCTGCCACATTCACTTAAGATACACAGTCACTACACTAATACAGGCAGTCCTGTGAAGTGCTTTGAGACATTTTGATGCTTTATCAATGCAAGATTTATTATTATAAATTCTGGGAATAACTTTTGTAATTACCTGTAAGTTCCTGCAAACAGCTTCTTGTTTATTCATCCTCGCCTCTCATTCTATTAAACATTTTCTATGTTTTGCACCAATTATCAGCACCAAGCACTCCCCCCCNACCCATAATTTGTGTGTTGAGAAGCAAATCTGTTTTGTTAATTAGACCTGGTTATTCTGTGCTCAAGTCCACAAAGGTTGAACTCTCATGTAATGTGGCAGTGCAAAATTGTTTCCTTTCAGTCAGTTGGTCTGTAAATTGCAACCTATGGTTAAAGTGAACCCAAGGAAATCACCACAAGCATAAGTCCCGAGGCTAGAATCCTGATCCCATTGGTCGAAGAAATAGAAGGAAGTGATCCCAAACATCTCGATCTTCATCCATGACATATAAAGTAGGCTGAGAATGTGTTGTTTCCCTCTCTGCATTGCTGACTTAAATCCTTATAGACAATCAGTAATTGCAATATGGAAGATAGGGGATACTTCTGAACTTTTAATCACATATCACTCATTATTTCAGATGGGCGAATATCTGAAAGGTGATAGCCTTTCAAAATTAAATGCGTATGTTAAGGCCCTTCACGCTCTAGCCACTCCTTTTCTCTCTGATCTCCAATCCCACTCCTGCTCTCAGCCAGCTCAGGCTTGCTATGTATGCATCCCCTGCCCTCTCCACACTCCGTTGGTGACCAAGCTTTCCAATCTACACCTCCCTCCCTCTTCCCCTCTGACTTGCCCCCTTTGTCTACTTTCAAGTCCTGCCTTAAAAATCTTCGTCTTTGACCCTACTTAAGGGATCCAACTGCTCGGATCCAACCTGTCACTGTAAAGCGCTCTGAGATGTTATCCTATGTGAAGAGCGCAATATAAATGCAAGTTGTTGTTATAAAATTGCCCATAAATGCATTTGCAGTTTAGAATCAATCCAACAGTCAAAAAACAAGGCATTTGAGAGCAAGTTAATACTTACTCTGAAATGGCTTGTTTTGTGACTGATGACAAAGTCAGACGAGTTGGCACAGCTTGGATTAGTGGGTTGGTTGGTGCACCCTGGGATGTTTTATAACAAATATTTTGTCCTGCGGAGAAAGGTATTTTCATAGTTGAAGTTTATTTGATCACTTTGTAACTGCAGTTAATGTACAAAGGCCTGCTTGTGATTAAAATGCAAAGGAATTTATGTTCAGTTATAAAGCCAATACAGGAGTTAAATTGGCAAACTCCTCATAAAACCAATACAAATTGTGGAAAATAAGTTATCACAATGTTTATTTTTGAAACATACCTGTTAATTTTCTACTCTTTCTGCCAGGCATAAAAATAAGCTTATTTTTTCATCTGATGAGGAAAAGACTGTGATTGTGCTTCATTCACATTTTTCTAAAATTAACCATGTGGTTTAAATCAATTTAAA